GGCGGAAGTGGAAAAAGGGGTGCAGCACAGCAGTATGCTTACCAGAGCAAGGATTCGCATAAATAAATGTCGATAGTGCTTCGAACTGGGTTCTAGAAGGAGCGTGGACAACCGTCGGAGGAGAGTAATTCCACGCAGCTACCACCAGAAATGATAAAAAATTGCCTAATGAATATGTGCGCTCCGGGCTTGAAAATCTTCTCACAATGTCCCCGCTGTGTGTTTCCTGGGTCAGCGGTGAAAAACCTGTCGGCCAAGCTCTGTTCAAATAGGGCATAAGTAAGAATTAGGTTTCCTAGAAGGCGACGATACTCCAGGGGAAAGAGATCAAGCATCGCGAGACAGGTATCGCAGTCCACGGATTTGAGGCTAGCAACCATTTTCAAAGCGGCTCGTTGGACACGCTCAATGAGGGTGACGTCTTTCGTGCGTTCTGGGTAGAAAACCTGGTTGGTGTATTCCGGGAGCGGTCTGACGTCGGGCCCGATAGAGTATTTGGAAGTCCATGCGAGTAATATGGGAGAAGGTGTGTCGGATCATCCGGAAAATGGCACGTGCCTTTTGGGCCGATTTCTCATGGTGCGGTGGGAAATATAGGTATGAGAATACCCAGATACCCAAATCCTTTTGGGCGTCTATCCTGGTCCTTTCCCACCATGCATAACAAAGACATTCGCTAAGTCTCCTCCAAATGACATATGGACGCACTTTTCGTCATTCAGAAGAGGGTGCCGGACCAACGACCACTGCTTGGCAGCGTCTACATCCATTTGGGGGGTACTGGTATTGGAACTCCAGGATTTCAATTCGTCCGCAAAAAGTGGACACGGACATGCAAGAACATCTGGAAGGTCGTTGACGTAGATCGAAACAGCAGTGGTCCCAGGACGGAGCCTTGAGGAACTCCAATGAGGACTGGCGCTGGTGAAGAGTAGGTCGAGCCGACTCTCACTCGGAATGATCTGTCTGATAGGCACGCCTTGATCCAGTGAAGGATTTTCCACTGAATCCCGTAAGACTCGAGTTTGTGGAGGAGTGGGACGTGTGGAACCCTATCAAATGCCTTTGAGAAGTCGAAAAACATGGCATCCGATATGAGTTTGAGTCCCTCATCCTCGGCTTGGGTTCAGCTGTCCATGACCACGGGCGTGTTTGTCACGCAAGAACGGCTTGGGGAAAATCCGTGTTGAGCTGGCGATATCAGGTTTCTGGAAGTAAGGTGACCTAGGATAGCTCGCTTCAGAATGCGTTCCATCACCCTGCCCAGCACGCTGGTGAGGCTTATAGGTCTCTAGCTGCCACGCAATAGTCGGCTACCAGTTTTGTAGATTAGCGTGACAATCGCTCCATTCCGAGCAGAGGGAAGGCGGCTTTCGTCAGGCGACTGACGAAACACCAGGTGTAAAGGACTGGCCAGTGTAGACGGCGTTTCCTTCAGGATCCTTGGATGGACCTCGTCGGCCCCAACGCGCAAAATGGGTTGATCTTGTGGAAGAGCTGATGAATGTCCTCCACCGTGGTGACCAAGTCGGTTAGAGGCTTTTCGTAGTTACGCCCTGACAAGAGTGGGTATGATGAGGATGCTGGGGCAGAATATAGACCTGTATAGTGTTCTCTGTAAACTTCAGATACTGTTGTTGGGCCACTCGTAAGTCCTCCGTTCCTGTCCCTCAAAGAGAACGCGGATGGCTTGTTTCTGCGGCGATGTCTCATGTATTCGAACAGTACTTTTGTTGTTTTTCTGAGCGAGGTCCGGGGTGGTGGCTTGTTTTCGTATGTTTCATTGGCGGATTTCTGATCCACGGCAGTTTTGCATCTTACGAAGTGCCAGCTCATCTTCAGTGTCCCCTGTAGCCGACTTGAAAAAGTTGGGATCCCTTTTCCAGAAGTCGCCGAATCCTTTTCGGCAGCCTGTGGCTCATCCGACTGCGTGCTGGTTATTTTGGGACGAACATCACTTCAGCCTCGTGAACTATCTGGACAATGGTCCCATATAATTCTTCTGGCTGGCTGGTGCAGGTCGTGTGGCTTGCTTGGTGGAAATCCGGATGGGATCCTGTCCAGAGAAGAATCATCGATGGGGGCTGTCAGAAGTTCCCATTTGAATCAGATGGCACAGCCGCCGTCCCTTGAGTTCTTCCAGTCAGAACTCTGGGTGTATTATAGCCGGGGACTGAAAGGGCCGCGTCTGGACCTCCAATTATGAGCCATGATTCAGTCACACAAATCGGACTTGGTCTGGCAAAGACGCTAATAGTTCGGAGATTATAGAATTTCTGGCAGTGACGAGCGGCCATTAAACAGCATTATTGACAAGTTCCTTTGCGAGCAACCACTACAAATTAGGACGTTACTAATCTCGCTCATGGTGCAGCCTGGTAATAGGGAGAACTTAGTAAGTGGAGGCGGGTTCACTGGGCGTGTAATCGGATTCCGATGAGGAGTATTCAGTGCTGGTGGTGGCTGGATAAATTGTTGTTGAAATAAGTCTGAACCCACGGCAGAAGGTTGAGTGTCAGTTTCAGTATGGGGTTGTGAATGTCACTGGGAGGGGGACATGCAGTTGGATGAAGAGCTATCGGCCGTGTCATGTGCGAATGGTGGTGTGGATGGGGATATTGTGCAGAAAGCGGTGTGGCTTTGGGGATGGGCGGCAGCCAAAAATTATGTTCAGGCGGGCCGTAAGAGAGATTGGTAGGGTGATGAACGTGGATGAGAATTAGAGCTTGCCAGTGGTTTTTGTGGATAAGAGGTTTTCCAAGCGAGTGGTGAGTAAAGTTTAATGAGTTTTTAACGTCGTACGGGTGGAACTGGACGTGGCTTCAAGGAAGGCGGTGGTAGTGGTGGTGTAGGCGACTGTCGAACAGGGATCTAAGGCGAATAACATGCGGGTAACCATGGGGACGGAGCTGGATAAGGACTAAGATTGGGTGAAGGCGTCTCTGGGTTTGGCACCCTGCCAAGGGCTAAATTTGCATGATAGGGGGACCACTAGTGTATTCACGTGCCATACAGGGGTGTCGTCGAGTTTGTTGAATCCGTGAATCCATGAATCCGTAGAAGTTGGGCGAACAGTGAGAATTCTGGGGGTTAGTGCGGGAGAGGACTTTATGATACCACACTCTGACATAAATTTCGTCATTGTTGTTGGTCAACGCGAGAGTGGTTTAGATTTTTGGGTTGGTCGAAATGTGCATACGGAGTCAGGCACATAGCATGCAGTCAGGAGAGCAGTTTTTGTGAGTTCGAGCTGGATGCGTTCAGAGGTACTGTATATTAAGACTTGGTGACGGCACTTCAAAAGCTGGCAAATCTCAAAGGCAGGGGTGTCAAGATTCAACGGACCATATGTTGCGGCAGGATTCCGAAGGCAAGTGATGGTGTGCCTAAGGAGGAAGCCAGTTCGCTTTCCTTCCTGTGCCCAAAGGCTTTGAGATTAACCGGGTCTGCGTGAATCCGATGTTATTCTAATGGGAAAGGGGGAAGAGGGCTGCGTAGTTCGACGGTAAGGGTGATATTGGTTGGTACTATCGAACAGTCCGAAGTGACTCGCGGTGCTATGTCGATCGACCTTCAAGAGCGATGGGATCGAATGCTAAGTCTTTCAGCAACAAAAGGCTTCTTCCGACGCAATGAGGAGAAAGGGTTATTGGGATTCGGGGTCTACTAGTCGTTTAGAGGATGAAGAGAGTGGTGTCATTATCCCAACTTTCCGGGCGCTCACGGAATTGAGACGCTTACCAGTTACTGGAGATCACAGCTGGGTCCGTTTACCAATGTGAGCACGAGTGCTGGGATTCACTGCCTGGGAATTAGGCCCTTAGTTTGTTTAATAATGCTAGTATGAGTAAATACGGGGTGGTGAAAAGTTGTGGTGAGGACGGTAGAAGTAGTGTTTCTTGAGAGCTATGAGACGAGTATCTGGAAGCAGAAGGCTGTCGTGAGGCTGATACTGTCAGGGTCTAACGTCAGGAAAGGGTAGTCAGATAGCGGAGGGTCAGAGAGAGAGTCAGTGCAGGTATTGTGTCATGCGCGAATGGTGGTGTGGATGGGGATATTTTGCAGAAAGGCGTGTGGCTTTGGGGGATGGGCGGCAGCCGAAAATTATGTTCAGACGGGCCGAAAGAGAGATGGTAGGGTGATGAATGTGGATGAGAATTAGAGCTTGCCAGCGGGTTTTGTGGACAAGAGGTTCTCCAAGCGAGTGGTGAGTAAAGTTTAATGAGTTTTTAACGTCGTACGGGTGGAACTGGACGTGGCTTCAAGGAAGGCGGTGGTAGTGGTGGTGTAGGCGACTGTCGAACAGGGATCTAAGGCGAATAACATGCGGGTAACCATGGGGACGGAGCTGGATAAGGACTAAGATTGGGTGAAGGCGTCTCTGGGTTTGGCACCCTGCCAAGGGCTAAATTTGCATGATAGGGGGACCACTAGTGTATTCACGTGCCATACAGGGGTGTCGTCGAGTTTGTTGAATCCGTGAATCCATGAATCCGTAGAAGTTGGGCGAACAGTGAGAATTCTGGGGGTTAGTGCGGGAGAGGACTTTATGATACCACACTCTGACATAAATTTCGTCATTGTTGTTGGTCAACGCGAGAGTGGTTTAGATTTTTGGGTTGGTCGAAATGTGCATACGGAGTCAGGCACATAGCATGCAGTCAGGAGAGCAGTTTTTGTGAGTTCGAGCTGGATGCGTTCAGAGTTACTGTATATTGAGAGTTGGTGACGGCACTTCAAAAGCTGACAAATCTCAAAGGCAGGGGTGTCGAGATTCAACGTACCATATGTTGCGGCAGGATTCCGAAGGCAAGTGATGGTGTGCCTCAGGAGGAAGCCAGTTCGCTTTCCATCCTGTGCCCAAAGGCTTTGAAATTAACCGGGTCTGCGTGAATCCGATGTTATTCTAATGGGAAAGGGGGAAGAGGGCTGCGTAGTTCGACGGTAAGGGTGATATTGGTTGGTACTATCGAACAGTCCGAAGTGACTCGCGGTGCTATGTCGATCGACCTTCAGGTACTATCGGTCCGAAGTGACTCGCGGTGCTATGTCGATCGACCTTCAAGAGCGATGGGATCGAATGCTAAGTCTTTCAGCAACAAAAGAAAGGTTCCGACGCAATGAGGAGAAAGGGGTATTGGGATTCGGGGTCTAC